ATCATGACAATGACTGACAAACACTGTGAACAATGGCCTTACATCTCCTTGGAAAGTTTGGCTAAGTCAGGTTTGTATGTTATTGTTTTTAATTTTAGGCACAATTCCAGGTTCTCATCAAAAAGACGACTTCTCAATTTACTCTTGATAAGGTTCATACTTGAAAATTATTGTTTGCATAAATATATAGATCCAAATAAGGAAAGAACAGCAAACTCTAGTTTTTTCAGTTGATTATATGAGTCAGGAATACTATTCCAGGTGTTAAAAATCAACACATCTTCCTTCTCCAGGTCTTTCAAAGCAGACCATTTGTACTGTGAACTAAGCTCACATTTGTTTTTCTCCAATATTTCTATATCAGCACAAAGATGTTCAAATTTTGAGCTCCACAATCCTTTGTTGTTGTTGTTGTTTTTATCTTGTCAAGTTCTTTTTTTTTTGTTTCTAGTTTTTTTCTTTTGTTTTTTTAAATAAATTTTTATTGTTCATATTATTACAAATGTTCCTTTCCCCCCCCTTCATTGCTCTCCTCCACCAGATTCCCACCCCACCCTCTGTCTTCCCCACCTCCCATTGTTCTCATCCATAGGTGCACAGTTTATGTTCAGTCTCTTCCCACATCTCCCTTTCCCCTTTTCCCCAAGAATCGTCAGTTCACTCCCCTTCCATACCTCTGATTCTATTATATTCAACAGTTAATATTGTTCATCAGATTTTTTTTAATTTCCTTGGTTTTTAGATTCACTTGTTGATAGTTACATATTTGTTGTTCATAATTTTTATCTTTATTTACTTTCTCTTCTGAAAGAACCACCTTCAGCAATTCATATAATTCTGATTTGGCAGTGATGAACTCCTTTAGCTTTTTTATTTTATTTTATTTTATTTTATTACTGAAGCTCTTTATCTGACCTTTGATTCTGAGTGATAGCTTTGCTGGGTAGGATAATCTTTGGCTGTAGGTTCTTACTATTCATCACCTTGTATATTTCTTGCCATTCCCATCTGGCCTGCATGGTTTCTGTTGAGAAATCAGCTGACAATCGTATGGGTGCTCCTTTATAGGTAACTACCTGCTTTGCTCTTGCTGCTTTTAATATTCTCTCTTTGTCTTTTGCTCTTGGAATTTTAATTATGATGTGTCTTGGTGTGGTCCTCTTTGGATTCCTTTTGTTTGGAGTTCTGTGTGCTTCCTGTACTTGTAAGTCTAATTCTTTCACCAGGTGGGGGAAGTTTTCTGTCACTATTTCTTTCAGTATGTTTTCAATATCTTGTTCTTTCTCATCTTCTGGGACTCCCATAATTCTGATGTTGGTTCACTTGAAGTTGTCCCAGAGGTTTCTTACATTATCTTCAATTTTCTGGATTCTCTTGCCTTCTAGCTTCTGCAGAGGAGTGTCTTCTGGCTCTTTATGTTTCAAATCTTTGACTTGATTTTTGCGATCTTCCATTCTGTTTTTAGGACTCTGTATAATATTTTTTATTTCAGACAATGTATTCTTTATTTCTTGTTGATCCCTTATCATTTCTTGTTGATTCCTTATTAATTCTAGTTGATCCCTTTTCATATCCTCATAGGTCTTATCAATCTTTTCTAGGAAATTCTTGAAAAACCTTATAAGCATAGATTTGAACTCTATATCCAGTCGCTTTTTGTCCTTCATTTCTTTCGTTTGTGAGCTATTTCGTCTCGGCATTTTCGCAGCTTCCCTGATGGGGTGGGGTTTCAGGGTGGAGCCTACAGCTTTGGCATCCATCAGCACTGCCCTATGCGGCTCCTGAGTCTCAGGTCCTTCAGTACTCATTGCAAGCGCCTCTGAGAGAAAGGTGCCCTCAATTTTTGTCTGCTACCAAACAGTCTAGGCTCTCCCCCAATGAGCCCGGTATTGGGGTTCAACTCAGTTGGAAGTGGAGTTGGAGGTGGCGTTCAGAGCAGTCTGAAGCCCCTGTCTCCTTCCAGCCAGGGCAATCCTGTGGCACAGCCAACCGTCTCTTCTCTGTGTGCAATGTGCATGCCTCCAGGACCTCCTTTTGCCACTCCCCCAGGTTCCGCCTTACAGCCCACCTCCCTCTGTTTGAGCCTGGGTCCCCAGGGTCTGGCCTAGAACTGGGGTTCAGAGCAGTCGGAACTGGGGCCCAGTACAGTCGGAGCTTTTATCTCCTTCCTGCTAGGGAACGCCAGCCTGGCACTCAGCCTCCCTCCTCTCCAGCTCCGTCCTCTCTTTGCACGCCACGTGTCTCCATACCTTAGGCTTTTACAGCTCCTCCACTCTTCCTTCTGGTTTTCTCCTTGCTTCTCGTTGTAGAATTTCCAGTCAGTCAACTTTCCTGTAGTTCTGGGTAATGTCCATTTTGTATTTTAGTTGTATTTTATTGAAATTGTTGTGTGCGGCTGGGGCTAGGTGTTTACCTGTGCAGCCATCTGGGATTCTCTCCTCCTTTGTTTTTTAAATCCAGCAATTGAATTTCAAAGTTGCCAATGTCAATATTAAAGGGAGAAAAATTTAATTCTGTGACTTTAGCATAAAGAGGTTTTTTAACAAAGGCTAACGTCACTTTACTGTTTCTGAATTCCTGAAACCTGTTGAGAAAACCTTCCCTCATCTTTAAAAGTGTTGTTTTGAAATAGCAAGTGACAATATCAGAATTATTTTCTTGGTGATGTTTCAACAGGCTTGGAAAGTGGATCAAAGTTTCTCTTTCAAAATCTTGAGCAAAAAGAGGTAATTTGTTTTCGAATGAAATAACTTCTAACATAAAAAAAAAAGTGTTTCCTTTCCCCTGTAATTTATGATTAAGCTAATTTAGATGAGACGTAATGTCTACCATGAAATAAAATTTTTGGATCCACTGATTCATTAGTTCTGGATAATTAACATCCTTCTCAAAGAGAAAAGCTTTAATTTCAGTTAAGGAAGCAAAACATTTCAAAACGTTTCCTCTTAATAGCCAGTGTACCTTGTTATACAGCAGAAGATCTGCGTACTCACTCACCATTTCAACTAAAAATTCTTTAAATTGGCTATGATTAAGAGCTTTAGCTATAATGGAGTTGATAATGTTAATCACCAATTCCATAACTTTGCAAATTCTTCTAGAAATATTTGCACACAAAGCACTTCTTGATGAATGATGCAATGGTAAGTATCTTGTGATTTATTTTTTTCTTTCAAAATAGCAACAAACCCGTTTCTTATGCCAGTCATACTTTTCACCCCGTCTGTTGAAATTGAGACAATTTATCAAGTGGAATATGATGTTTTTCAATGCACTCAATTACAGCATTTGCTATATCCTCTCCACATGTTTGACCTTTGAGTGGCAATAATCCTAAAAGTTCTTCTTTAGAAGGACCTGTAGATGAAATAAATTGTACAAAAAGTGAAACTTGCGCTGTATCATTTATGTCACAAGACTCCTCAACTGCTATTGATAAAACTGAAACCAATTTAAGATTTTCTACTTGCTGGTCAGTTATATTCAAAGACATTTTAAGTGCTCTATCTTTCACTGTTTTAGCAGACAATAGTAACTCTTTATTTTTCTTTTTTTCTTTTTTTTTTTTTTTAGAATATCTGCTTTGTTCTTAAAATCCCAAAATAGCTCTTCAGATGCATTTATAAAACAACTTTTTATGTATTCACTGTCTGTATATGGTTTACCTCTCTTAGCAATCTCTTGACTAACCACAAAACTTGCAATATTAATATTGTTGGAAGATTGAATCCAGTAATTAAATACAGAACTTGATTTTTCTTGACTCTTCTGAAGTTCCTCAGTTGCTTTCTTCCTTGCATCACCAACAGGATATTTAGTACTAAATGACACGTGTTTAGATGTAAAGTGTCTCTCCAAATTTTATTTCTTGTTATGCACCAATTTTTCCTGACAAATGAGACAGGTCAGAAGGCCATTTTAGTTTTGAATAAATTCGAAAGTCTCAGTCCATTCAACTTTAAATTCACAGTTTTCGTCTTTTGTTTTTCTTTGCTTCTTCTTTGTAGTCATGTCAAACAGGGCACCTAAAAAAGTTTCATTTTATAATAATAAAGCCACCAACACAAAATAATTACAATTATTTTTTTATTTTTTTAAATAATTATAATTCTTAAATTGATGACAAAAGTACCTGTAGGATTTGCAGCTGGTTGGAAAAATACAAGTAACTTTATGCTTAGAGTAGATACTTTTTTCACCCGCATGTGATTTGCTGACTCAACTAGCACTAACCACTGCACAATGAGACTGCTGACTAACTGGGCATGAATCCTGTGCACCTCCCCCATGCTGCATATCCCACAGCCCATCTGAGCCATGTCTCTCATTGTCCTACCGACTGACCAACTGACACCCCTACTTCTTCTAACGCCACTTCTTCAAAATAGACTTGCCCAGGTGAGGCCGAAAACTGACTTCTGCGCATGGCCCACAAAGTTTCAATTGCACTGTATGTGTGCACCCTCACGTGGTATGTAGTGGAAGAGCCACACTCAAGGGGCCAAAGAGCCGCAGGTGGTTCATGAGCCGTGGTTTGCCAACTATTGGGCTAACCCACAAAGGTATAATTCTCTTCTCCAGACCCAGTATGACTACAAAGGCCTTCTCTAAGGACCTCCTCCCTCAGTAGGGCAGAAATGGTCCAAAAATGGCCTTTTCCAAACTTTAAGAACAGAAAGGTCACACATATAATAAAAGATGAATACAGGACTCCACCCAACCAATGATATCAACTAATCCATTTCCACAAGAGCATCTTTTCATTTTTTCTAAGACCCAGGGTTTCCTGATGGACATCTGGGATGAATTCCTTTACATTAGATCTGTCTGTAGATCAACCTGCCCCTCAAAGAAACCCAGCCTCTTAGCCCCCATCCTTCTCACTCCCTATATCTCTTCTGTTCTAGACTGTGGTGGGCTACCTTCCTAAGTTCCTCTGGATACTCTGGGGAGTCCAAGAGGGCTTAGGGTCCCTAAATCACTCTTGAATTTGTCCCCAGAAGACCGAAAGCTGTTTGTGGGGATGCTAGGGAACCAGCAGGGTGAGGATGATGTCTGATGCCTGTTCTAGCCCTTCGGCCACATCAAGGAGTGCATAGTCTTATGGAGCCTGGATGTAAAGGTGACTTGAGCTGACCCCAGGATTTCCTGGTGATCCTGACTTTCACTGAGCCACATGTCCTTTTGGCCTCTGTGGCTTGAGCCACCCAATTCCTCTGTCCTACCCCAGGCTGTGCCTTTGTGAAGTTTGGGAGTCAGGGGGAAGCTCAGGCAGCCATCCAGAGTCTGCACGGCAGCCGGACCATGGCGGTGAGGGCAGGTACAGGGGCCAAGGGTGAGGCTAGTGGGGTGGGGACTGGCTCCTCCTTCCCACATAGGAAAGGGCCTGATGTGCAAGGCTCTCCACCCAGGGCCAAGGTCTGGACCAGTCACCGTGGCCTCCCTTGCCCTGCCCAGGGTGCCAAATCCAGCCTTGTGGTCAAGCTGGCAGACACGGACAGGGAGCGAGCCCTGTGTCAAATGCAGCAGATGGTGGGCCAGCTAGGTGCCTTCCATCTGGCGCCACTGCCTCTTGGGGCCTGTGAAGCCTACACCAGAGTGGTAGGTGCCCGGTGCCTGGAGGACGCAGTGGACTGGCGGTGGGCCAGGCCGGGGTCAGGAGCTGGGGCAGCTGCCCACCGCTGGGCCATTCACAGCCACCCCTTTTTCCTCCCAAAGGTTCTGCAGCAGCAGGCTGCCCTGCTGGCAGCAGCCCAAGGCCCAGGGCTAGGCCCAGTGGCCACAGTGGCAGCACAGATGCAGCATGTTGCTGCCTTCAGCCTAGTCACCACACCGCTGCTACCCACCTCAGGTACTGAGCTGAGGTGAGGTTTGCATGGGGGGGGGGGAGAGGACCCTAAGTCCCAGGGTGGCTGCCACCTGACTCTGCCACCTCCTCCACCACCTGCAGCCAACTCCCCTCCGGGCAGCCCCAGCACGCTTCTGCTTCGGGAGTTCCTGGCACCTTTCGGAGTCAATGGATTCAGGTCCTTGACCCCTCAGACCAATGGGCAGCCGGGCCCTGACACTCTCTACAATAAAGGGCTCTTCCCTTACCCAGGTGGGCCCCTTCCTGCCCCGCTCCGCCAAAATCTTCCTGAAATGGAATGAGGAGTGGGGGCAAGAGTGAGGGGATTCTGGGGAGTTGGGGGAGCAGAGTGTGTGTGGGAGTAAAGGGGGGAGTCTCCCTGGAATTGATTTTTCCTCTTTCCCTGTTGCCTTTCACTTGATCCTGCCTACCGGCAGGTCTTCACTGTGGCCTTATGCCCTTCTCTCCCCAGCCCAAAGCCCAGGTGTGGCTGACCCATAGGCCTACGCTGGGATGCACCACTACACAGATTTCACTGGGCTCTACACAGCCTAGTCTGGTTTGAAAGGTTCCAGAAAGGAATAAGGAAATTGGGGGTGAGGTGTGGGGGGTTTATGCTCTTTTCTAGGGGTCAACCCTCCCATCCCCAACCCCTGGGCCCAGAATGGCCTCTCTAAGGGTGAGGGTTACCATGGACTGGGATGAATTGGTCAAAGTTGGCCAGGCAGATGGGATCATGCTTGGGGGATGGCTCCTGAGGCTCAGTGCCCACTCCCACCTCTGTTTTCACCAGCCTACTCATCAGCTTATGCCCCAGTGAACACAGCTTTCCCTCAGCAGCCTTCAGCCCTACCCCAGCAACAAAGAGAAGGTGAGGGACAGGGCTGAACATCAGGACCTGATGGGGCTGGACTCAGAGTCCCTTTCCTGAGCCAGCCTGCTGCAGTTCCTTCAGAGCCTGAAGGCTGTAACCTCTTCATCTATCACCTGCCTCAGGAGTTTGGTGATGCAGAACTCATACAGACATTCCTGCCCTTTGGACCTGTCGTCTCTGCCAAAGTCTTTGTGGATCGAGCCACTAACCAGAGCAAGTGTTTCGGTAAGCTGAGCCCAACCCCTGAGCCTTCCCTACTGCCAACTTTAACATTCCTTATAGAGTCTAAGTTTGTTCTTCCACAAGTCAATGATTCCTTAACACTGAGCATATAGCACAAAGCAGAGTTACAGACCAGTGGTGGAGCTAAGCCCAGACCAGGAACAAGTCTAATTCAGGTTTATCTGGGAAGATCACGTATCTAGAAGATGTTTGACCAGGTCAGGCTTTAGAGTCTAGCCAGGACAGGAGGTGTCTAAGTCTGGACTAGAGATCCCTTCCAACTCCAACTGCAGTACAGAGAGTTGAGGAGAGAAAGAGTCAACCCATGGTAGGAAAACACAGGGAAACACCCCAACCAATACCCACATACTCAGAATTGCTTCCAGTCCTTCCAAGAATCACACTTTTATGAAATTCAAACCATTTGACCATGTAACTATTATATAAGTGTGTGTACATGTAAATGCAAACAATGGAGGGTAGATGGGGTATATGTTTGATGGAACTGGCCTGAGAGGAAGGGAGAAGGCTGGTCAGAGAGAAAGGAGAGTTCCCAGTTAACTTCTGTGACCAAATCTCCAGGGTTTGTTAGCTTTGACAATCCAACCAGTGCCCAGACAGCTATTCAGGCCATGAATGGCTTTCAAATTGGCATGAAGAGGCTCAAGGTCTAGCTAAAGAGGCCCAATGATGCCAACAGACCTTACTGATATGCTCTCACTGACCAGTCACAGAAAGGTGAGTCCTTGGCAGACCCCAGGCAAATGGGGTCTGAGTGATAGAGACCCTCTCAGTTTTTTGTTCTTTTTGGGATGTTGGGGCATTTATTTATGAAAAAGTCTGGAAGAGAAGAGCCAGGAGTTAGGAGGATTTTCCTTCAATTTAAGAACTGAGATAAATTAGACATTTCCTGTCCCCATATTCTGGGAGAAACAATTAAGAGCTATATCCAACCAGTTATTTTTACTCCAGAGATAGCCACAGTGGGCCATGGAAGTAGAGAACTCCAATTGAAGGAGGGCAGGGGGATGGAGAACGAAACTAGAAGAGTAGGTTTGGGCAAGCTTGTGAAGGGTCTTAACAGCCATGAGTTTGAACTTTATCCTGAAGATGATGAAAAATCATGAGGAATTTAAGCAAAAGGGGAACATGATGTAAGAGCTGGGGAAATGGCAGTTAACATGGGATGAGAAGAGAAACAAGTAAGCTGAAGAAGGACCTGTGGTACTTGGTGGGTGATGGAGAGGGGGATGACAGGCTCTGTTATGTTTCTGGCAGGGCTAGCTGCCTGAAACTTTTAGAGATTTGCTATCTCAGAAGGTCCTCATGGCCCTCCCTCACTTGAACTACCTCAGGGATCCCCTCTGGGTTGGGTGCTCGGCTAGGGTGCTGACTAGGGCCTGCTGTAGCTGTGCTCCTCTGGAAGAAAGGTCCAGGCACTCACCTAAGATGTAGCTGATGGAGCAAGCTGCTATTCTTACCTTGCCCTCCAGACTGATTTTTGCCTCCCACCTCCTACCTCCCTGTCCTTTATCAATTAATACCAACAACAGATTCGGAAGAGTGAGAAGAAAAAAGAGGAAAAGCACAGACGCGCTTATTAGGCCTTTCTTGAAGGAGCAGCTGCAGACGGAGGTGGATTGGACCCAAGGCCAGTGCCTGGGGCTCAGGCCACTTTAAGGATTGTTTTTATCAAGTGGGTTGTTCTATGCCTGTGGCATAAAGCTCAGACTGGAAAGGCAGCTGGGGCTGGCTGAAGATGGACTATCAAAGAGAACCATCAGAGGGACTTGGGGGTGCCAGGGGCTTCTCTGCAAGGGAAGCCCAGATTTACTTTGTTCAAAATCATATATTCCTTAGAGTTTAGGGATCAAAGGACTATTGCTTTTTAAAGAATATATATAATCAAAACAAAACAAAACAAAACACATACAAGAGAAACACAAAAGACAGTATAGAATCTCATAAAAGCTGCCTTTAAATATCACTAGGAGATAGGGTGAAGGAGACTTTTAAAATCCCAAGCCTATTCAAAGGGAGGCTGTAGAGAGATTGTTCTGTGTCACCTATTCTCTTAAACCATCTCCCCATCCTGCCTTTTTAAAATAATTAAGGACTTGAAGTCTAGGCTCAGATGCAGGTGACAAAAGAGTTATGGAAACAGTGGACCCATAGTACCCAAACGCAGAGAGGGTCACCAAAGAGGCTTCAGGAGGAACTCTGTCCTGCCCTGGCCTTTACCACCAAAAGTGGAAACTTGCCTTTCTTTCCTGACAGCCTTTCCTGTGGAACCACTGCTTCTGTGGGCTAGAATAAAAAGGGAGTTTTGGCCACCCTAACTTTTCCCTTTCCTCTCCATATAAAGAGAGTCAAAACACCTCCTATTTGCCTTCACCTTGAGTCAGTCCCAGTGTCCCCTTGCTCTGAGCCACCTTCTGTTTCTAAGTTTGACCACCTGTAAAGTAGATTCAGGAAACATGTAGAGGGCTGTGTCAACAGACTTGGAAGTTTGCTGCTGTATATACTGCCATTAAGAAGGGAAAATTTTTTAATATATAGAAGCTTCAGAATTTAAAGTCCCTCTTTACCCAGGACCTGGGAGAGTAGATGTTTTGCCAAAATACTTCTTCATTCCTTTAAAAAGTATATCTTTCTTATGCAATAGTGTTTCACGTGCTTATCCAAGGTGCTTCTAGATTAGGGGTGTCGAACTCAATCAGAGAAGGGGCCAAAATCTAAAATCCAGCCTAAATCGCGGGCCGAATGATTTACTGAATAGTCATAAACTGTCATTGTGATGGAAACGCAGCGGAGTGCAGTGATGACAGCGCGGTGCGGGCCACATTGCAAGGCCTGGCGGGACGGATTTGGCCCGCGGGCCTTGTGTTTGACACATGTGTTCTAGATGATGAGCAGTGCTCAACTTAGTAGTGGTGTGTGCTTTGTCTGTCTGTCTGTTGTATACAGTAGGTGCCATATAAAGTTGATCAATGGTGGTAGTTCCTGCCTGCGTCTATGAGATGGGCAAAAGATTTCAGCTTAGAACACCATGATTCATCTTGCCTTTGCCAGCCTTTCCTGGGCCTACAGGGACGTGCACATATTTTAATTAGAAGGATAATTTCCTCTCCACCCCATAGACATGGATCAAACTGGTCTGTGGCCCCAGCTATGTGGTGGGCACTCTAATCCCCAGATATTGCTGAAGCTGGAGGCCTTTGTTCTGATAGAAAATCAGACAGTAAAGGATGTAAGGGTGGGACCAGAGGGTTCATCCTTCATAACAGTTTTTAAGAAAACTTATTCCTACCTTGTCCTCCGTCCTTGATTCATTTTTGGAAGGAATGGGATGAAAAAAATAGATCCAGTAATAACATTACTAGGTTAGGTGTGCTATATATCAACTAGTAATTTCCAAATGAGAGAGGAACCAGTGTCAAGGGCACCTGTATATCAGCACAATGCTGACACATAGACTGACCACCCTAGACCCTGATGGAGATAGGTAGCACCTGCATATTCAAACAGATGTTCACATAGAGGTATAGAAGCCCCCTTAGTACTAGATGTTAAGCACTGTGCTAGGAGCCTGGGCTCAGGCGTGTTCTAAGTACTCAAAGTTAGGAGAAAAAACAGACCGTTAATGTAGTTATAATGGAGGGCTACATAGGGTCTATGATGACAAGAAGAAGAGTACCTAATTTAGACTTAATTGGTAATTCAGACTTGATATATCAGAAAAATGTTTCCTAAAGGAGATAAAAAGAAAGAAAAAAAAAAGGATCTTTGAGGATGAACTGGGACTTTTGGACAAAGGCATTTGGACAGTGTATAATTTTGGTAAGTAACCTTAATTACCAAAAAATAATAACGATTGCCATTTATTCAGTGCCTACTATGTGCAGTCAATGGGCACTAAGACTCTTTTCTCATTCCTAACTCTACCCTGAACCTTAACTCATTACAAAGTCACATCAAGAGACTTGAACCAAAATGGTACTGTGTTTCCCCAAAAATAAAACATCCTCTGAAAATAAGACCTACATACAGGTATTCTTCTGAGTGAAACATAAGGCATCCCCCAGAAAATAAGGCCCCCCCAGGCTCTGTCTCAGAATGAAAATTAATTTACCGTAACCTGGTGGCTAGGGCCGCCCCCACTGGCGTCTAGCAACCAGTGACATTATGCGCAGTCCTGACGTCACTGCTGTGTGGAGGTGGAGAAGAGGTTGGAGTGGGCGGTGAGCATGAGACAGGAGAGAGGAGGAGACTTTTGGCAGATACATGTAGAAGAACAGGAGGGTTAGAGCAGATGGAACACAACGAAGGTGGTGAGTGCTGGTCTGTCTCTGGTGACACTACCTGATGTTTGCGGCCTTCCTCATGATGACTGAAGGTTCTCAGTCAGTGGCATACCCTGCTCCAGAACAGATCCAGGCCCCAGAAAGCCCAGTGACAGTCCCCAGGCAGGCCCCAGGGGGTAAATAAGGGGTAGGGGGGATGTCTGGTGAAGGTGTTCAGTGGCACAGGGGTGGGGGGAGAGGGACCACTTAAAATGACACAAGAGGATCAGAGGGGGCAATCAAAATGACACAGGAGGATCAAAAGGGGTTACTAAAATGGTAATCCTCCCTCTGATTTTCCTTTGCCATTTTGGTTCCCTCTTCTGATCCCCCCTGTGTCATTTTAAGTGACCCCCCTACCCACACCTTGATACCCCAATTCCTTTTTTTAACCCCTAGAAATGAGTGCAAAAAGAAAAAGCTACTCCGTGGAGTACAAGAAAGGAAATGTGGAAGACTCTTGGGGCCAAAATCTTACAGCTTTCTGCAAAGAGAAGATGTTGAGTATCCGATTGGTCCAAAAATGGCAAGCAGAGTATGGTAACCTCATTGAACAAGTGGACAAGGGAAATGCTAAAAAGCACAAGTGTGGATCAGGTCGGCAACCATTATTTTCTGAGCTGGAAGACCTGATCTGTGAATGGGTTGTTGACAGGAGAGCAGAGGCTTTGGTTGTGAATAGGGCTCAGATTCAAGAATTTGCCCTTGCAATGGCACCTCAGTTTGACATAGCCCCCGAAGACTTCAAAGCATCACAACACTGGCTGGATAATTTCCTTCAGCGAAGTGAACTGTCTTTAAGAAGATCTACAACATTATTTAGGTTGGAAGATACTCAAGTTATTAAGTGAGCACTTGCATTCAAGTCCTTTATTGATGATGCTGACTTCTCTAAATACAATCTTCCCAGCATGATTGCTATGGATGAAACTGCAGTGTTTATGGGCCAATCATCTCAAACAACAATTGAACAGCGGGGTGCCTCCTTAGTGTACAGTCCCTCCACTGCTTACGAAGGTGCACGTGTTTCCTATCTTTTGGCAATTGGTCTGGATGGCACTAAAATCCCACCTTTAATCATTTCTAAGGGCAAGAAGGAAAAGATTGAACGTGTTTTGAGTGTTTTTATTCTTGAAACTGAAAAAGCCTGGGCCACACAAGCAGTTATGAGGAAGTGGGTTGATTTAATGTTGCCGCTTCTTATGCGAGGGAGCCAAAGAGGTCTGTTAGTCTGGGATGCAGCCAGCACTCACCATGCTAAAGACATGAAGACATTTCTTCACAAAAGAAAAATAGATCAGATAATGATTCCTGCAGGAATGACAGCCTATCTCCACACTCTTGATATTGCAATAAACAAGCCATTCAAAGACAATCTTCTCATGAAAA